GCAGAATCATGCATGCAATTGATGAGCTGAGCCCTTAATTCTGAGTTACTCCCAATATACATTCTTCCCATATACCTGATAATCCCTTGATGGTATGTGTAATCGTGCACACTAGATTTGTCTACCGCTAGTGCAGTCAGTAGTTCCTTGGCCTTCTCATCCCAATTATAACTGCTAGAGACCCTTGCTAACCATAATGGCTTTGCTGTGGTAATGGCATGGACCTGCACCTCCTCACCACCTGACCCTTCATCCCTTCCTTCCATCCTTCTAGATAGAGCATCAGCCACCAAGTTATCCTTACCCCTTTTATATTGGATCTCATAATCTAGTCCCATCAGCTTTGCTAACCATTTTTGCTGGAGAGGTGTAGTGATTTTTTGTTCCAGTAAGTATTTCAAACTTTCATGATCAGTTTTGATTATGAAGTGAGTTCCTAGCAAGTAGTGTCTCCATTTCCCTACTGCAGTAATCAATGACAATAATTCCTTTTCATATATGGACAGTGTTTGATTTTTGGGTCCAAGTGCCTGACTCATGAAAGCAATAGGCCTACCTTGCTGCATCAAAACTGCTCCAATGGTCTTTTGGCTAGCATCGGTTTCCAATACAAATGTTCCAAGGAAATCAGGAAGTGCTAGTACAGGAGCTTGAGTCATAGCATGTTTGAGTTCTTGGAAAGCTTGCTCAGCTTGTTCATCCCACCCGAAACCATCCTTCTTTAGCAGATTAGTTAAAGGTTTAGCTATCTTCCCATATCCCTTCACAAATCTCCTGTAGTATCCTGTCAGTCCCAAAAAACCCCTTAAACCTTTAACAGTGGTAGGAGATGGCCAGGACAGCATAGCTTCCACTTTTGCAGGATCAGCAGAGACTCCCTCACCAGTAACTATATGCCCCAAGTACTCTACTCTATCTTGCCCAAATGAACACTTAGACATTTTTGCATATAAGGAGTGATTTCTGAGGGTGTCAAGAACAAGGGAGAGGTGTTTGAGATGGGAGTCAAAATCCGGGCTGTAAACTAGAATGTCATCAAAGAACACTAGCACAAATTTTCGAATAAAAGGTTCAAATACCGAGTTCATTAGAGCCTGGAAAGTTGCTGGTGCATTAGTGAGGCCAAATGGCATCACTAAGTATTCATAGAGGCCAGAGTGGGTCCTGAAAGCTGTTTTTTGGATATCAGATGGATGCATTCTTATCTGATGGTACCCTGACCTCAAATCAATTTTTGAAAAAATTTTGGCACCCTGCAGTTCATCTAGGAGGTCATCAATGATTGGGATGGGAAACTTGTCTTTGATAGTGAGGCTGTTAAGTTGTCTATAGTCAATGCATAACCTCCAAGTGCCATCCTTCTTTTTAACTAGTAAGGCTGGGGATGCAAAAGGACTATGGCTGGTTTGGATGATACCAGTGGCCAACATTTCCTTGACTTGCCTTTCTATTTCTGTTTTTTGCCTGTGGGGGTACCTATAGGGCCTAATCTTGAAAGGTTTAGCATCAGGTTTCAAAGGTATTTGGTGATTGAGGCTACGGTTGGGGGGTAAAGTTGTAGGTGCAGCAAATATGTCATCATATTGAGCAAGTAATTGAGTGAGTGTTTTGGGCACAGTAGTTACCTGTGAGTTTTGTACTCGTATCATGCAAGAGTGTTGCAAGGCTGTTCTGATTTTGTTTCTGCAATACTTCTGGGCTGATACTCCTTGCTTCATCAACACCTTGGCAGAGTGGGAATCCCCTTGTAGTAACACCATTTCACCCTCCTTCTCAAATGATAGTGACAACTTTTGAAAGTCAAAAGTCATGGGGCTATAACACTTCATCCAGTCAACCCCCAAAATCAGGTCGTACGGTTCCAAGTCTAGTACATACACATTGTGAGTAAAATGATGGCCTTGCATCATCCACTTCATACCAGGAATCCATTGCTCACAAACTAATTCTTTCCCATCAGCAATTCTGACTTTAAAAGGTTTATGATTCTTAACAGCTTCAGGGTAGAGTTGAGCAATAGTTGGCTTTATGAAGCAGTTGGTGCTACCTCCATCCAGCAGGATTGACACCTCTTGATCACCATAATCTCCCAACATCTTAATGGTACTGGAAGACAATTGGCCAGAAACTGAGTGGAGGGATAGTGTAATATCCCTGCCATACTTGTTGCCTTGATACTCAATGACCTCATCCTCTTCATCTGCTACTTCCTCTACTTGAGCCTCGCCCTCATCTGCTAGCAGCAAATGAATTCCCTTATTCCTGCAAACATGCCCAGGGGAGAACTTCTCTCCACATTTGAAACATAAATTGTGATCCTTCCTGTACTGGAACTCAGTGGGGGTAATCCTCCTAGAGCCTTGGGGAGTAGTTTTGTTGTTGCTGCTATCAAACATCTGATGTGCAGGCTTCTTCTGTATTGTCTCCGTAACCTGAGTTAGTTTTGTAGCCATCCTAGATTGCTTAGCCATAACCTGTAAGTAATGCTCCTGCCATCTCGCCTTCTCAAATGCTGATTGCAAGGGCGCAGGTTTGTGGATCTTGACCACAGACTTAATCTCCTCCTTTAGGCCACTTAGGAAACTGGAGATGTAATATGATTCAGTAAGACCAGGGACCTTGAGCATCACGGCAGCTCGCAGCTCTTCAAACCTTTCTTGGTAGTGAATTACTGTGGAAGTTTGATGAAGCTTGTTAAACTCCTCTATAACGTCATCCTCCCCTAAATTCCCAAATCGACTACAAAACTCTTGGCTGAATCTGTCCCATCGTAACTCCCCCTTGTCCATCTTGAAACCTTGATACCAAATACTAGCTTTCCCATCCAGATGCAATTCCACTAAATCCATATGCTGCGAATCAGGAATGCGACATAAACGGAAAAACTTCTCACATCTCCTGACCCATTCTCTGGGGTTAGAGCCATCAAATTTGGGGAATTCCACCTTAGGAGTCCCTACAGGTAGGAAATTCCTCTCTCCTTGATTGGATAGCCCCAACTCCAAGTTTCTCTGAGGCCTTTGGACAGGTTGCCTCTCCGTATTGTCTGGTGAAATTCCTAAGATCCCTCGGTCGCTTTGCAAGCTTCTCACAAAAGCGGTGTATTGAGCATTCATGGAAACCATGAAATTTTTCATCTCAGCTGAGTTCGCTTCCAAGAGTGCCTTCATATCAGAGTGATTTGTTGCCAATTTCTCTTCCAGTGCTAGTCTTTCAGCTGCATTGGCTTCAAGGATGCTCTGGATCCGAGAATCCTGCTTCCTCAGTTGTTCCTCGAAGCCTTTCATTCTGGTGCCCTCCGCCATAGTCAGCTACAGATTCGGTAGTTGAGCTTGCAGATCCAAGGACCGCAAGCGTCTGATACCAATTGTACTGGACCTGCCCAACAAGGGACGGATTCAAGACAGAAATTGAGAGAAATGCAGATACAGAGGAAATGAGAAGAGAGAGCAGGGGAAGACTAAGATAGTATAGACGGAAAATGAGAATTGTTACATCCAAAAACTACATCTCTTCTCTTCCTCCTCTGCTTTATACTAGTTTCTGGTATTCTAACAATATAACTAACGCATGCAATATGAAAGGACTCACATGCTCGATCAATTAACCGACACATGCAATCTGTTATTTGGAATATCTTCTACAACTAACTTCCTGACGTCAAATAACTAGACTCCAGCTCGGTCATTACAGTAACCCAAGGGTCTTTTCTTGAAACTCAATCTCTAGCTTTTTCTTAACATTTTAATCATTACAGTAATGACCATAATGATTTCAGTATCAGTATTTCAACTTGCACTTCTTTGCACATCTTTCTTCTTTTCTTTTACGTCCCTCCTCATACTACCAATGCCTCTCATCCTTTTTTCAACAAGTTTATACCCATAAATATTGAAGTCCAAGAAATGAACCCAAAAGTTAAAGATGAAATATACAAATTTATTACCAAGTAAAACTTACTCTAACAACAAAAGTGTAATCAATCTATAAAATTAATCAATGAAAAGAAACTAATGATTCGCTATTCAAAAGCCCACCAAAAGAAGATGACATTTTCACACTACAAAATAGTCTATCTAGATTGCCAATAAGGAAGCTGACATGCTATGGAGTTCCAATTATGGATGTGCATAATATCTGCTCAACCAAGTCACCTAGTTTAAGATATTCTCACCTATCAATTAAATAGAAACTCAATTAATTAGAACTTATACTATCATTAAAACCCAAAAAAGGAAAAACAACAATAAAAGGTGAACAAACACCTACTTAAAGGCTATCTTCACCATTTGTTTATTCCTGGATCACAAATAAAGATTGCTTCCTCCTGTAGTGGATACCAGAAAAAGAAGAAAGAAGAAAGAAAAGGCCAGAGATAAAAATCTGATGGGGAAAATTTATCCCTGAGAAATTTCAATGGCAAAGTACCTTCGGTTGTGTAGACAATCATATCTCTAGTCTTACTCTCAAACATATACTGCTTTAGAAATATTGACTTGTCCTAAAAGATGCAGAGACAGAAATTGCATGAAGACCAGGTCCCATATTCAGTGAAAAAACAAGAAAAGAACAAAAGGATTCAACTTTTAACTGAGCAAAAAATGATTCCTGAACCAGCTTAGAGGTTTCTTCGGAAAATCTTTAAACTTCTCTGCAAAAGTGAAAGTGAAAAGTCTTAACCTCGACCCTTTTGTTCCATATTAGTTAATGTTATTTATCATTTAACTTCTGATTTAACAGATGCACTTGGTATAATTTTGGCAGATTTCATTTTGACAGGTAAAAGGATTCACTCAAAGCTAGTATTTAAAAGAAGAATATTAAAATCTAAAAACAAAAGGCCCAAAGTACCGTGAAAAAAATAGGAGTAGGAGCTTTACCACAATTTTTTGCCATCCTCCACAAACCTCTGTCATAGAGGGAAAGGTCACAAATTGAAAAGGAAAACAAACCAGAGCAAAAAACTTGTGGGCTAAAAAGTTTCATACCACAAAGGTTGTTCTTCCTTTTCTTCCTCACTCTGTAAAAATGCAAATTGTAATATGAGAGTATAAACGAAATAAAAAGATGGGAAAAATCACAGATGAATGTGCACCAAGAAAAGAAGCAATCAGTGTTTCTATAACAGGGGCTCTAGAATGCATAGGTGTTTTAGGGATTAAATGCGTCTAGAATGCTTTAAGAAACCACTATAACTCATACTTTCTATCAAACAACACCAGAAAAAATGACAGAGGAAAACATTGATGTTCATGCCTATTTTTTAGCTAAAACCTAATAAATTCATCTTCCTTTCTATAAAAATAATAGTATAATCCAATAAAATAAAAGACAAAATAAAAACTTCAAGTGATTTGAGAGTAGAGACCGAAATTAAAAGGACAAAGTTTTTATCGGCAAAAAATAAATAAACAAATAAATCAATAGATAAATAAAGCAGAACAGACCTTTGGAGGACAGAAAAGGATGGAATATATCCACAAGTACTTGCATTTGCATCCCATAAAACTTGTCATCTTTTTCCTGCAAAGATAATACTATAAAAATTAGGAAATCAGATAAATAAAACATAAGACACATAAAATAAAATAAAAAATCTTAAGATATAAAGATTAGAAGATCAAAGTTCTTATCGCTAAGAAAATAATTGAGTAACAGAGATATTAAACCAAGCGTTATTAATTTTTAAGCAAATAAAGACCATTGGAAGAATAGAGAAAAGTTGAGTAAATCTACAGGTTATTTGTAGCTCATCTCATCTAAAAAGATCAGAAACAAAAGTCAGAAAATTGAAGGTCATTTGTGGCTGTTGTTGACCTTAATTTTTTTTTTAAAAGAAACTTTAAATGGGGATTTGATAAGGAATCAAGAAAAAGCATTGGTACATCCGTTAGGAGAGGGTGTTAGCAAAACACCCTGACAAATAGTTGATGGCAATAAATAGAACAAGAAGTTGATGACAAATAGTTGAGCAAGCGAAAGGGAGATCACCTCTGACAGAGCAGGGACAGAAGAAATGGGGTGAATGGTTTTCCGATGAAAGGAAAGTGAAAGTGAAGATGAATAACCAAAGTTGGCATGCTTGTTCAGGTATCCAAGAAAATGAATTTCTGGTCTACTCCGGGCAGCAGCAGGTCTTGTTGTCGGAGCTTGGCACCAAAAACCGGTACTGGTATGCTCATCTCTCGGACTCTGATTCTCCACATATACAAGTAGCTTCACGGATGAAGCTGCCAGAGTCTCATGTGTTTAGGAGCTTCATATCCAAACCAACTCTAACAAGGGAAAAAAATCAGTTAGAATCATATAATTGAAAAAAAAAAAAAAGGAAAGAGAAGAAAGGGAAAAGGTGGGAGGGGGGAAACGGCCGGAAGGAAAAACAGAGGAAAAAGGACCAAATAAAAAACAACAAAAAGGAACAAAGGAACAAAGAAAAGAAAAGAAAAATAGAAGGGGAGAGGAGAGGAGCTCTGGAGAGCAATGAAGCGGCGGAGATGAATGAGGGGAAAGAAAACAAGGGAAGCCCTAAAACAAAATTTTTGGCACGTGAGAAACACATGATGGACGACCACCATTCAGCCAATAAAAATTGGCCACGTCAGCACAACAACCACCATTTTTAACAGATCCATTCGCGCTTTTACTATATAGGTTGATAAGCATTGAAGTTCATTGTAGAATTTTATTGAGTTTGGACCAAGGATTGATTCCTCCCGTGGGTAGCCTATTTTTGAACCCCATTTGTTCATAGACTGAAAAGCTGGGTTTTATGTGGCATCGAATTGTGATTTTATCTTGTAATGTTTCAGTAGTTTGTGCTGATTTCTTGCTACATCTCATCTTCTTCTCATCCTAAGGATCAAATTCAGTATAAGTTTCATAAGATTGGTTGCTATTTGAGTGATATGAGAAGGAGCGACCACTGTTTTCATTTTATAGCAGCGTTCGCCAATAGTTTCTAGTTGCATCTGATGCCTACTCAACAATAGTACCATAGCATTAGGACATGCCAATTTGTTTTGGTGCTGGAAGAACTTTTGCAAGGAAGATTGTTTCAGTGGTCAAACTGCTACAGTAAGTACTTAATAGATAGTTTAAGTAGTTATAGCCCAGCTCGGGTCTTAATTTACAGTAATTTAGTTGGTAGTTATTATAGACTTGTAGCTTACAATTTAATTGCCCAGTTATCCTGATTCTTAGAACAAAATATGAATTTAGAAATTCAAACCAATCATCAGCCAAAAGGGTCAGCGTTCCATTTTAACTGGTCGTTCGTTTTTTATGCCATTCTAGAGGTAGAAGAGTAATATTTGAGGGAAAAAAATTGCTAAAATATGCTTTTAATATTTTGAATTTACTTTAATATAATATTGTAACGTGTAAAACGCATCCTTCTTTCTTGAGAAAGGGAAAAAAAGGGCGTGGGCTAACTTCGATTAGATGATAATTCATACATCTTCTCTTCAAAACAATGAGGCATTTTGCATCTCCATTGTGTTTGAATGTTTTACTACTCTAATTAGACCGCATATTTTTAATTGTACCAGTCCCTTGTTGACCTTCGATTATTTTAATAGATTGATGAGTTAAAAACTACATTTGTATTATAAGGAGAAATATCTTCCAAAGTTAAATGTGTTGGTTAATTCATTGCTTTTGAACTTTTTTTCTGCGCAAGAAATTTTTGTCAGAGAAATGTCTTATTTATACTTTATTATTTTACAATAAGATGAAGTTCCATGACATTACAACTATATAATTGATGATACATGTAAAATCACTCAATCAAACAAACTTCCTTTTTAGCAATGCAATTTCTACCCATACTTTATTGAACAAGCTCTCCAGAAATCCGAAGTATGCATAGCGCCATGACTTTTGGAAACATAGGACACTGAGGAATCCCACGAGTCCAACAGCAAAACCAGGTCCCAAACCAGCATAAAACCAATCAAAATAAGACTCCTTGCCATCCTCATGATCACCATCAGATTCTCCGGCATTTGATTTACCATCAGGGCAGCTTTTGTCTAGCGGGTCACCACAAAGTCCACTGTTTCCAATGTAAAACGTTGGGTTGTCTAATGTCTGCAGATGACGTCCGGATGGGATTGGACCCGTTAGCTCGTTGAACGATAAGTTCAGCCAGCACAGAGAATCTAGGTTCGACAAACTTTGGGGAATTGGACCGGAAAGGTCATTTTTGGATAAATCTAGAGACTCAAGTTGCTTCAAGTCCCCAATGTTTTCTGGGATTCTTCCACTTAGATGGTTCCTAGATAAATCCAAACCCTGCAATCCAACCAGAGACATTAACTCGACAGGTATTTCCCCACTTAGTTTGTTTCCTGAGAGCCCCATGAATCTAACATATCGCACATTGCTTGAGGTGTAGTTCAACATTACACCTTTGATGAAAACTGAAAGTTCTTCACTATCATCATCTACAACAGAATTCAGGACACCAATCGGGACATAAATACGTGTAGAGTCCAATTCTGTCGATGTCATTGCTGTAAAGTTGTTGAAACAGCGAGGTATATGTCCAGTTAAGTTATTGTCTTCCAATTTTAAAACCTGAAGGGATGATAATTTGCAGAGACTCGTGGAAATGTCACCATGGAAATTATTAGATTCAAGCACAAGGATCTTCAGACGAGATAGTTCATCCCCAATCCAAGATGGTATAATGCCTTCCAGTCCATTATTTCCAAGATCCAGATACTGCAATTTTTTCAGATATCTGAGAGAGGATGGGAGCATCCCTGTAAAATTGTTTCGGTTCAAGTGTAAGGACTGGAGATAATTGAGATGTGCCAGTGAAATTGGAATGTGCCCGTAGAGACTGTTGTTTGCTAGATTTAGCACACCCAACGTTTTAAGCTTACCGATGCATGAAGGGATCCTTCCAGAGAGCCGGTTGTTAGAAAGATCCAGGATAACAAGCATTTGTAAGCTGCACAAAGAATCAGGGATGCTGCCGATGAAGTGGTTATCACTGAGATCTAGTACTCGAAGAACATCCAATGTCATGTTGATGTCGAGCTGTGGAATAATCCCATGCAGTGAGTTATTTTGAAGATTCAATCCAAAAATGTCTGTTGGTAATAACTGCAAAGGCCCCTCGAATTTGTTGGAATCCAAATAAAACATTTTGCGATATTTATCACCACTATTACCTTTGCACATGGGTGGTTTCCCTGTGATGTAATTGTTGGAGAAATCCAAAGTTTTTATACCATGACACACACTCTCAAACCAATCTGGGATAGTATCTGAGATGCTTGAATCTGACATGAGCAGACTTTCGACTCTTTTCTGAGTTTGAAGCCAGAGAGGAAATTTGGGCCCTATCTTCATGGAACTCATATATATCCATTCAAGCTGGAATGGTGGGACCCACGAGGAACTCACATTCAGAGCGAGTCGATTGGAGGATAAGCTTAATTCTTTCAGTTGTGCGAGTTGGGCAAAGTGAATGTCACGCAGCTCCCCGCTCAATGGATTGCCAGATAGACACAAGGATTTCAACTCACTCAGCCTCCAAAGAGAGGATGGAATGGTACCATTGAACCCATTATCACTGAGATCGAGTTCGGTGAGTTCTCGAAGTTGCCCAATCGCACTTGGGATTTTGCCTTCAAACTTGTTACCTCCCATGAGCAGTACGGAAAGAGAAGTCAGGTTGCCTATGCCGAAGGGGAGTGGGCCTTGGATTTGGTTATTAGACAAGTCCAGATGGACAAGATTGTTCAAAGTGAGAGAAGTCAGGTTGCCTATGCCGAAGGGGAGTGGGCCTTGGATTTGGTTATTAGACAAGTCCAGATGGACAAGATTGTTCAAAGTGAAAAGTGGATCGGGCAGTGAAGTATTGAATTGATTGAGGCTAAGATCGAGGTAGCTTAGTGAACTCCAATGCTGAAGGCTGTTAGGAACTATTGGACCAAAAAAACGGTTGTTACTAAGGTCGAGATGAACGAGTAAAGTCAAATTAAACAACCAGAGAGGGATCGTGGAGTTAAATCCATTGCCACTGAGGTCAAGTGAGGTAAGAGATGTGAAATTAGGGTGTGCAATATAAGGAAAGGAATAAATACGACAAAGTCGTAATGTTAACGAGGATAAGAAACGAAGCTTGTTAAGTGCTTGCAACCAGTCTCGAGCCTCTCCTAGGTCCGCTCCCGAGAGGTCCAAATGTTTCAAGGAAGAAAGACTAGTGGCCCACCAGAGACTCTTTGTTGACAAAGAATGAAGACTTATCGAAGCACTAAAACCTCCAAAATTTTCACCAAGATCGAGATATTCTAAGGCTGAGAGATTTCCTAACTGGGGAGGAATTGTCCCATTGAAACCTGCACTAGAGAGGCTGAGATATCTCAAATTTTTCAAGGACCCAATAAATGCTGGGATCCGAATTCCTGCAAAATAATTCGAACTTAAATCCAAGTAATGCAAATGCTGCAGATTCACTAACGAAGGACTTATCTGGCCTCCCAAGCAAGATTGACGCAGGATAGAGGCATAATTTTGCGCGTCCCCATACAAAAATCGATCAGAATCAAAAGTAGCATTATTGCGAAGATCAAGTTTCACTACATGCCCAGTGTTCCTGCTGCAGCCAACTCCTTTCCATGAGCAACAATCTTCTCCGGTCCAGGATGCCAAACGATTTGATTTATCAATTAAACCTTTCTTAAACTCGATGAGAGTCTTTCGTTCGCTCTCAAGGCAGCTTACATTTGAATGTGCTCTTGCGTAGAGATCAAGATCAATCTTACCTGTTAAGAAAACAAACCATAACACAGTGAATGCAGTGAATTTGATCATATTGTTACAAGCTAACTGACTCGATTGTCAGAGATGAGATTTTTTTGGGGGTTTCTTTACTAATTAATTCTTTTACACAAGATTCATGAGAAATTTTGAACGCGTTGAGCAAAGATCACAATGCCTCTACTTATAGGTCCAATGTTGTGTGAGAAACGTGGCCCAAAAGTTGCATGATTGCTGTCGTTTTTCTGAACTTTTTCCCGCTTCCGGGAAATTGTTTTCTCTCTTTTCTTGTTTTGTGCTGAAATTCCTCCAATTGCATGAAAATAAAGTATATTTAAAACAGGAAAATCTTGCATAAGATTTTACTGTAAAAATGACAACATAGTGCATAAACTTTTTTTTTTTTCCTAACCAAGTGATAAAAACCCTAAGGTCATAGTTCTATTCAGTTAATATCCAAATTCCATTTTTTGATTTAATTAGACTAGCTCTACATATGACAATAAGGGAACAATCAGTTGAGAGTTAATTGTTGAAAAGGTCTGTAATCAATTACCAATGATCTCTCACTTACATTAAAAAAATAGTTAAAGATGAAAAAATAATTATAATTGAAAGTAATAATTGAAGTTAGAGATTAATTGAATGATATAAAGGAAACAAGTGTAAATGAGAGATTTCGATTTCGAGACCTCTTACCTATATTAAAAAAATAATTGGGTTTGTTTGGATAGAGTATTATTTGAAATATTATTTGGAATAATTACTGTAGCACTTTTTATGATGTGACGTATGTGAGATAAAAAGGTGGTTGGAAATATAAAAAGATAGGTTGAAAAATGTGTTTGTGATGCAAGCAAATATTATTTGAAATAATTGAGGTATCCAAACACTCCCAATGAAATCACGCTCTTTCTTTTTTCTTTTTTTGTTGGAAAAAAATTCGCAAGCATGTACGTCCCGGTGCATAGTTGTCTCCTCAATCATTGTACTAGACATGGGAGAAAATGTGCTACACGATTGGTTGTTAAACGCAAGAATTTAATATTCCAAATTCACAAGGTGTTGTGAATCCTGGAAGATAGACTAAAATTACTTTTGACTAATTATGCTACAACTTTTTCCACACTTCCAACGGGGTACTTTCTCTGCGTTTTTCCTTAGGCTTAAATCTGTCAAAAAGTTGTATGACCAGAGGCAAAAACAGAAAGACTTTTTGAGTCTTTTTAGTAGGGCCAGCATTCACGTATTAGTTTGGAGAGATTTGCAGCCTAAATGAGAATTTTGTGTGAATGCTTTGTATTTCGAATTATTTCCGCGTGCTCTTTAGACACTACTAAAACCTTTCCATTCTCTGGTTTTACATGGCAAAATCAAGTGGAAAAAAAATAATGAATAGATATCTTATTAAAATATACATGATAACTTTCTTCCAAACTATGAAAAACATACAGGATAATTACAATACTGAAAAATACTCATGTTTAGGATGATAAATAAAATTAAAAACAAATTGGCTTCAAGTTTGAATCTGGAGATGAACTGTAAAAGGTCTTTCTTTGGTTAATTTTTGGTAGGAGAATCATATGTCATGCGCTGATTATACACATAATTGAAGATTGGAGTTTCTCGTTTTGTGCCCACAGGCCGCCAGTCTAAGAGTAATTTTATCTTGATCCAGATTAATTACTTGACAAGTTTGGATCTTTGGCCAATTAAAAAGCTCTATAAATAAAATTATGGAGTTCTAAACTCACTAATTTTATATTGAATACAATTTATCTAAGGTTGAGTATTTGTAAATTACTTGGATGTTTACCCATATTTTTTTTATATATATTATATGATAGTAATATTAAATCATTTGTTCAGAAATGTTTATGCAAAGAGAAATAGCACTAGCTTTTGTAAATGCCACTCCACAGGTTCCTTGTTCTTTGACAAAAACCATAACGATTATATGGAGTCTCATTAACAAATTCAGATATACCATTAGCACTTAATAAAATTGAAATGCCTATGTCATCGCCTTCTGAAAATCTAGGGATTTTGAATATATAAAGAATTTGCAAATAAATACCAACACATAATCAGTTTCTATAAATATTAACGGTGCACTGTAAAAAATTTAATGAACAAAATGTTTGCTTATTGAGAGACAAATTAGAAAAACACAAATAGTATAAAAAAGGAATTAACTATCATATCCTTTAGTCCCAAATTTTTTGTTATATTTTTCCAACTTTTTAATAATAGTGGCTTGACGGTGATGTTTATGGATTTGTTTTCAAAATTGCTCTAAAAAATTCAAATTTGATAGCATTGGAAAAAGAGATAAAAATTTTGACTTTAGTAAGGTGACAAATATTTTAAGACATCGTAGTAAAATGAAAAGTATAACACCTTCAGTGGATGGAGGGTTGAATATGACTAGTCTAAGTTATCACTTTGCTTTATTTCTTATATGTTAATTGCCCAAGTATCCATCAATTCTTTAGTGGTTGAGTTTTTTTTTTTTTTTGGATGTTTTGTCTTTATACTTTATTCACACAAAGGAAAAACATGGAATTTTCTTATTTTTGTTCTTCTGTCTCTTCGCTTGTCATATCCTCCTTTGTGATTGTTTCCTTCTTTCTTTCAATTTGATTTTAGATCTTAAGATAATCTTTTCTTTTTCCTTTTCTTTTTCTTTTTTTTGACATCCACTAGGAGATTAATTAAAATAGTCATAGTAATACAATTGTACAGAGCTCAATGGTAACCATAGCTTTAGGACGGTCAAAAAGTAGCCAATATCAGCATAATTGCACCAAGTTGCCTTTACTTTGTTGCCATGTATACCTATCTCGGAAGACTTGGAGTCCACATGGGACGTCGTTTGTGGAGAATAAAGTTCATGAGAACGGCAATTTCATGACTCCTGAGTCAAGTCCAAGTCGTCGGAGCCCTATGATGTTAGTTAATCATTGAGATCCAGCCAGGTTTCATGAAGTAACAAGTTCTAACAACCGACAAAAGCGACAGCAAGATTGACCATTTGGTCCAAATTCGTTGTTGGATGGTTCCTTCTAATTTCTCAAAAGAAAAATTTCATGGCTCGCGAGTCAAGTCGTTGCCCTGTGATGTAACTGGTGGTTGGTTTTCTTTGAGATTTCATGAATTTCATGAAGTGACAACTCATAGAAGCGAGAGCTATCAAACAAGATTGGCAATTTGGTCCAAACCGAGTGGGTGGCTCCTTATATTTTCCATTAGGCAAGTGTTGAAAATTTCGAGAAAATTGGTGGCTGGTGATTTTTTATTACGTTTATGCACATTTGTGATTTTTAGTTGATATTTGACTATATTGACACTTTCTTGTAAAATGTGAATCGACTTAGAATAATTGATTTGCTTGAAAATAATATGGTTAAATGTAGAAAATTTCCATGAACTATTAAGCTAGTTACACTTTATATTATTTTAATAAGCATTTACACCCTTGGTGAATTTAAAAATAACTTGAAAATTAATTTCATTCGAGTAATTGATGAAATGATCAATTTATCTGTCATTAAAAATTTAAGTGGCAAAAATACATTTTGGTGGCGGAGACTGCTACTTTAAATAGAGTAATTTTCACTTTATAACAAAAAGTCTAAGTGTTAACACATAAAAAAAAAAAAAGATATTGCTTCACTTTGAATGAGAATTAAAACCATTGGGATCCAAATGGGGGCAAAATATGAAAATTGGACGACTACTGTTGCAATTTTTAAAATCTCATAATTTTCTTCAACGCAACATAATGCCATAATTTCATATAATCAGCAAAATTTCACTTGAAATCTTCACAAGAATAAAATTGGATAGAATCCAAAAATTTTCATATGAATTTAGCACAATAATTGCAGTAAAGATTCAATAACTAACCAAAATTAAAACCCACATATTAGTAAACAAAATATTGGACTTAAAAGTTTCAATAAAAACACCTATATTATTTACTTTTCCTTGATAAGAATCTTTTCTTACCTAGGCTAACTTGAAATATGTGGTAAAATAGAGTTGCTGTGATTCTCGAATTGAATATATTCCCTTTCTTCTTCTTCTTCTTTTTTTCCCTACTTCTTTTGTTTTAATTGTCATTCAAAGTGATCATATGTTTTATTGTTATATGTTTTCAATTAGACTTTTATTATGAAGTGAAAATTAATCCATTTAAAGTGACAATTTTTTCTATCAATAAGGTATTTTTGTCACTTATGACCTTGTAATGGAGGATAAATTAGTCATTTGATCAATTAGTTGGATGGAGTTAATTTTCTTATTATTTTCTAGTTAACTAAGGGTGTAAAATGCCTATCAAAATAATTTAGGGTGTAAAGTGTAACTAGTGTAATAGTTCATGGGAGTTTTCTCATTTAACCCTTTAATTAATTCGTCAAAGACTCAAAAGACAAACCAATTATCGCAATGTTTGAAATGCTAAATAAGAAGACAGCTAATGCAAGTTTCTGGGTTGTCAAGCAAACAACCAAGTCACTGCATTGCTTTATTTCAAAGTTTGCTAGTATACCTTTTTACTAGACACTCTTTTAAGAGTTATTTGAAGTTGATTTCCACTCTATTTGCTGCCATATGGTAAGAGCACGCTCTTCCTATTTTACAACCACAGCCCTACTAACAATTCATGAATTTGGTGCCTCAACCCAAGACATCATCTCCACCATTAGCCCTTGTATCAAAGGTGTTTGGCTGTTAACTGAAGGGCAGGCATGGAGTCTTCCCCCGGGGCAAAAAATTAGGATTTATTTTAACTTTCTCTCCTTAAAGTAGTCTGATTAATATCTTGCTCTACAAATGGTTTACTTCCATCAATTAGTTACCCAGATATGGGAAAAGTGCATGTGTTGCACGTTAGATGTAAAGTTTGTAGATATTGGATTAAAACTAGTTGACTGATTAGTGCGTAATTTACGTTATTGCTGTACATCTATTATATTATACCTTGTGAGATGCTACAAAATTTTCACATTTCTACTGAAGTGGTTTCCCTGTGTTGCTCCACAGTG